ATTATTCAGCTGCTCGTGAACGTGCATGGTGAAATCGTCCTCCTTGACTCGCCGCAGCCGGTCATAGGCCACCCTCATCTTTGCAGTGCCGTTGGCCGGTCGATGTAGAGGTTGTGTATGCCGCGTCTTAGGTCCTACAGCTGCTCCTGGTGCTGGTGCTGCTGAGCTCGAGGCCGAAGCCGAATTTGATGGCGGTGGTTGTAGGATGTTCTCGTTCAACTGTTCTCATGATCGTGGATCGGGCGCTGGAACCGGCGGCGCTAGGTCTTGAGGAGGAGCTGGCGCTGCTGCTGCTGTAGCGTTTGCCGCCGCTGGAGGTGCCTTGGCAACTGGCCGTGTCGAAGCCCACTTGGGATCTGCCGTAGGTGCCACCTTGCAGTTTCAAAGACTTCTGCTGCGCTCACGATCTCCACCGTGCTTGCACTTGGGACTGTCCCAGAGCGCCTCTGTATTTCTCACCTGCGCATGTAGACCTGCCGGAGCTGTCCTTGCCTCGTCCTTTTTGTCTTCGTCGACGCGGTCCTCGAACTGCACAGGTGGAGTCTGGGTCTGCAGGATCATGAGCTGATCGATCCTGTCCCCGCTCTGGCATACAAGGCGAGACTTGACACGATTGTACAGTAATGAGTTTGCCTCTGTAGTCAGCGTAAATGACTTCTCCATCGAGGCCGAGACCTTGCCTCGACGCCAGGCCTGACCGAGGCCGGAGCTAACCAGCGGTGCCCGCTGGCCGTGCCATCTTAAGCCTGGTATGACATCCACGCCATTGCCCAGGTTCAAGATAGCCGTCTGCGACCGCAGCGATGTCGCACGCCGCCGCGCCGTCGCTGCCGAACCGAGGTGCCGTCGCACTAGGGTGTAGTAGCTGAACTCGCACTGCTTCTGCGTTCGGGCACCCGTGGTAAACGTCGACGTTGCCGTAGACAAGCGCGGCCAACATCACGGCATCAGTCAACTTGCGCGCGAAGGAGGTGATGCCGCTGATGATTGCCCGGCGCACCGCGCGAGTACACGCGGTAGTCAGTGCTGCAGTCTTGGAGTCCGAACCAGGTACAATGCCCTCGACCTTTCCATGTCGCTGGACTCCATGACCAGGGCATCGCCGGGCTGCATGTTGGAGTCGAGCCCGTAGGGCTTCTCCAGAAGCTCGTTCCCTGGATTCACGCAGCCGTAAGCGCATCCGTCAACTCGTCGAGTTCTGTTGCTGGCGATGTCCTGATTCTGCTAATGGTGACTGCGACCAGAGCTGTGAGCGTAGGCCATTCTCGTTAATGCAGCCGTGTCCGTCTCGATCCTGAACGACGTTGTCATGGTAGGGCCACTTTAACATGGGAAAGTCTGCCTGCCGTTCTTCTGCCGCAGCTCCAGCCCCCCACAGATTACTCATGGCCGTCCATGGTGTGCCATCTGGTGCAAGTAGCTTCACGGCGGGCTTGAAAGCGGTCTGGGCCTTGCTCGACATCTTGCGATGCTCGGAATGCATGAGGCCCAAGCCGCAGCGGTCATCGGCAGGAAGGAGCACTGCGAAACTAGACCACACTGCTGACAGAAAGAGCCGACCTGATCCAGGCCGCTGCCCTTGAAAGAACCACACCACTTGGCTACCAGCATGCGCTTGAAGCCACGTGTCGATGTTGTTCGGAGTTACGACCATGTAGCCAGTCTTGGCGTAGAACTCCCCAGGGATGTCCTTGTATCTCTGCTTCAGCAACGCGACGTGCTCGCTGGTGACATAGTCGGGGAAGCTGTCCTCCATGTAGACCTGACCACCTCAGCGGTGCAACCATGCTGTCCAGCTGTTCTTGTGAGTATTGCGTGGGGATGTGCACGATCAACCGGTGTATGTTGCCTGATAGCGCTGCCGCCATGTGGAGTCGTAGATGCCGATGCCGCGACGTGAGTCTTCTGCGGAGTTGAACTCTGGTCATCCAGGGTTCAAAACGAAACGAGAGCTGTGGTGGCCGTCTTGAGAAAACTAGCGCTGCTGCTCTTCACCTTCACCGCGTGCGCCAGCATCTCGACCACCTGAGCTGAAACGGCTGTTCTTCGCGCTGCTGGCCTTCAGGATCGCACGTTGGAAGCGAGTAGCGACTGCTATCCCTGAGAAGTACTTTGACCACGTGAATGCCCGAGGGGTCGCCGTCAGAAGCCAGCGCCAGAGCTCCATTGCCGCCGCCGGCGAGATCATGGACTAATAAGGGCCCAGAGGGCAGTGGCAACAAGTATGGGCGATTAGAACCGCTCTCACCGATGAGGTCGCCATGTCAGACCAGTTCCAGACGGGGGCGCTGAGCCCTTTGTGTATCGTGTCCCAGTCCTGTGGTAAGTCTGCCGTTGATGCCAGTGAAACGGCCTGAGCCCGGGTGATCGCGTAGTTCTGCGTGTCCTTGCCAGCGTGCTGCAGCAACGCATCAGTGCCACAGACGCCAGGAGCTGCGCCAGGGTCAATGATGAATCCTTTCCATTGTCAGCCCCTGACATGATGGCACGCCGCGAAGGTATGATCGCGTTCGCTGAAGATGCTGAGAACAAACGCCGGGGCATTCTTGTCAGTCGACCCCGAGCTAGCTTCAGTTGCTCGATCGTGAGACAGGTAGCTGTGGATACTGTTGCTGAGTAGGTAGGCTCAGTCCAAGCATGGCATGTTGCTAATCTCGCTCCGAAAGAACCTTGAGACCGTCGCCTCGACGAAGTCAAACGTCCGTGCTGGCGCATGCTTATCGTCAGAGACTGTCGCACGAGCGTCAGAGGCCTGCTCCGATGGAACATTCTGCCAGGAGCCGGCATCGCCCGCGTCCGATCGAGTCGGAGGTTGCAACGATGGTCGCCATGGATCTGATCGCTGCTCAAACCAAGAGTCCTTGCCGTCGTGCTCTTCCATGTCTTCGTCATTGGCCCTATCTAAGCTTCTTCTTCGTCCTTCGCTTCTTCTGTCCAGGGAGAGGTCAGGAATCATCGTTCTGCTACTGCGCCTGGGTGTCGGTCCATGCTGTCATGGGCCGCCGTTGGAGTAGGAGGCGGATGAAACGCGACGCGATGTCCACCGCGGTCATATCCTTGCCGCCGTCGCCGAGCCCGACCAAGAAGCCTTTCCTGATGGTCGCCTCGTTGACCGGGCAGTCCTTCACATTGTGCCAAAGACTGCCGCACTTGTCGCATCCGGAGCTTGATCCTGAACGCTTCGAGTTGTTAATCGTAGGCCCGAGTTGAGCTTGCTTTTGATGTCCAGATCATCGATGGAGGTCCATGACAGGTCCACGACGATCGTCTGAGTCAGTGCCTTTCCATTGTGTTGCTCTTGCCTTTGCCCGTAGTATTGCCTTTGCCGCCGTTGTAATCACGTCCTCGCCGATCATCACCGCCTGACCTGCCACGCCCAAAGGAGCGAAATCGATTCTTGCTCTTGCCACCTTTGCTGAAACTTTTGCGGCGCTGCCCGTAGCCACCTTTACCATTGCCGTAGCCCTTGCCTTTGCGTCGCTGTCCGTACCTGCCGTAGAAGGCCAGATCGTGTGGCGACCGTCAAGAGGATCGTCGAGTAGAGCTTGTTTGCCATCGAAATAAACATCCTGACCGTACTCATCAGCTTGATTATAATACCATGCTTGAAGCTGGTTGGCACTCCAGAGCCAACCCAGCAATCAGTGACCATGTCAGACAAATAATCCCTACCTTCCGCAAATCAATTGAAATAGACAGCCTGCTCGTAGATGTACCCATGGATGTACCAGTTGCCGTCATAATCAGTGAAGTACTCCACTTGGCTGTAGACTTGGTCGGCGTCGCCATCGTCATAAGTCGACAAGAGACCTTGCTGGTCGCCCTCGCCAATATGTTTCTGCTCCTTGCCGAACTTCACCATAAGCTTGCAAATCTCTGTGACATGGCCCCGGCCGCCGTCTATGTTCAACACCATGTCATCCATGAATACCTGGCCCAGGCCGGCCTTGCCAAGTAGCAGGTCTCTCAGGCCGACGTGGTTGATGCTCAATGCTGTATTTTTTTCTGCTGTCTCGTAGCGTAGTTACGCCGTCAGGTCATACAAGAAAGAATGCGATCCACGATGCAACTCAAAAAACCGATCCGAACGAACTGTCTTTCAATCTTGACTGCCATCTCCAAAAGCCGTGCGCACATCCGCCAGTATCAGCTGCAACCCACAATGTGTGGCCGGCACGCCTTGATGAACATATTCGGCCTCCGCAGCTGCATTCACTGCTTCATCCTGATACAACATGCTGCCGTCTTGTCGTCCCAACCTCATCTTCATCGCAACGCGATGTGCCAACCCTTTCCGCCTGCCAACGACCACACGGCCCGGACATTCTCCAGGTATGTCCGTCATCCTCATCCAAAGTCTGAACTTCTCCTCACATGAGACCAGCGGGTAGAACTCACGTAAGGTCGCAATCCTGGTGGACACTGCCGCGTATACCCGCCCAGTGGAATACCACGTAGGTCTGCTGCATTCGCCATGGTGCATGGCCGCTGTTGTCCTTGTAGTACTTGACCTTGTCGGGGTAGTCGTCAACGATAGAATCGATGACCTTCGCAAGCTGCTCAAAACCCTCGCGGTACTGCTTCTCGAAGGTGCGGCTGGTAGCTGAGAACCTCAATCTCTCCGCGACTCGAGAGATGAACCATCCACGATATACGTAGAGTACCTGAAATATCGTAAACTTGTTTACGATATCGAAAAGAACCGCGGGTCCGAGGATCGGTTTCTCGTCCGATATTCGGTTCGTCTGACCCAAGACGTCTGCGGTGTTTGCTTCATGGTCTTTCTGCTGCTATACACATGCCTGCTGCTATCTACATTCGGACTCTCCCTTCCTCCCTCCCTCCCTCCCTCCCCTCCGCCTTCCTCCCTCTTTTCCCAAACCAGCGCAGAGTCCCGAGCCGCATCCAGACTGGTCGTCCTTCGTCGTCGTCGTACCCACGTTCTACGTGCCATCGACAAACTGCCGCCCGAGACCCCCCCCCCCACCCCACGGAGGCGCCTGCGACGCGGGCGCCGAGGGCGCCGCCTGTGCCAAGGGCGCGGCCGCCTCTGGCGGCGGCCGCGGCGCCGCTGGCGCGGGCGGCGGGCCGTAGCCGAGCTCTGCGGCGAGGGCGCCGTCGACGCTGGGGGGGGCCGAACCCAAATCTCCGATCGTGTGGGCCCTCATGGGAGCGTCTGTGGACCTCAATGGCCCTGTTATAAACGTGATTTCGACCAGATGTCATCTAAATGTCGACCACCTCTCTTGACCCTTCCGTCCAGATTTCGTCCAGAATGCGCCCTGATATCACACGGAAAGTTCGACCAACTGCGGACGAAAACCCCAAATCGCAAAGAACTGTTGGACTCTATGAAGCTTCCATGAAGGACCACACAACTCCGACCATAACTACCATGTGCTGCCAAGCTCGGCTAGCATCTGGGGGCGAATCTCTACCGCGTGTCCCGTTGAACTGTTCCCGAACGCAGAGCCTCAGAGAACCCGGAACAACTATCTCCGAGGTTCTCAAGATGTCATGCGGCACATTGAGAAAGAGATAAAGTCACCACTATTATAGCAAATGTCCGTGCGTTGCTTGTTCATCCGACCAGGGAGAGGGTCCCGCGCCGATCCAGGAAATCTACACGGAGCACCGAAGGTGCTTGTGAATGCAAGTGTTTTTTCTTCGATGGAGGCCCGACTGAACGGATCGGATACTCGGAGATCTGGGTTCCAGATCTCCGACGATGTGTTTTTCAATGGAGGTGTTCGTTCCTTGATCTCGGCCTCTGAGGTTTTCGGGCCCGAGGGCCATCACAAATAAATCCAGGGCGAACAATTTGCCCCGACGGATCGAGACACTCGGGCCGGCGGATGTCAGGGAGTTGTGGTGGGGGTGGGGAGGTGGGAGGGGGCGCTGGCCGTGTCAGGGCAGGGGGACGAGGGACGTGTCAGGGCAGAGGGGCGCGGGCGTCGAGGGTGAGAGGAAGATGTTGTACGACGAGGGGCTCTGCTATAGGCGTGCTCCTTCCGACTGCAGCGAGCGAAGTATGCCAAGGACAGGTAGATGAGAGAGGAACAAGGAGGAGGGGGAGGTTTGCTCCCTCGGCTGGTCTGGGAGAGCGGGGAAGAGGGGAACTTCTCAAAGGGCCCAGAGAGACGCACAAAAATATACACAAATTTCAGGGTTGACCATTTTGCTCTGTATTGTCTGGACTTCCGTCTTCCCTCTCCAGTTTCAATGTTTTCCTACATGCTCCTGGGAATCGACGCTTGTGTGTTGGGAAGGCAGAAAGCCGAAATCAGCACAACGAACGCTTTGTTCCATTGCCTTTGGAAATGTGTTTTGAGCCAGACCGCGCCCGTCCTGGTTCACCGACTCGCAGGGGAGAACAGTGCCCACCCACGAGAGCCCAGCAGCCAACGACGAGCGCTTCAGTCCGGACCCTCCCCGAAAACCCAATGCACGGTCCTACGCAGGCCTGGGGAGACCTACGCCGAGCGCTCCAGATTCTCAGCCCTCCGGCCCAGGCCACACCTGCAAAGTCCTCGCAGGACCACGCACCCTCAGGGGCTCCGTTCCAGTGGCGGTCTTGGTGCTGGTGTCGGCTTTCCGACAATGCCGAGGTCGCCAAGCTGGTACTGGCACCAATACGCCACTGGAAAAGTTGGGAGCGGGGCTTCCGAAAGCCCGTACGCCAAGGCCGAAGATCATCACAGACCCCGTTGAGCCCGAAGGCCGAATCTCAAGACTCGTGTGGCTCGAAGGGCCCGAGGCCTCATAGTGCTCATCGGCCTCATGTGGCCCGCTGGAAGGGAAGATGGAGAGGGCCCACGGCGTCCTCCATCGTTCCTCTGCAAGTTTGTTGACATCGAGCACACAAGCGCTAAGACGTGGACGAAGGTGTACAACTGAGACTCGGGACCTTTCTCGTCCAGAAAAGACCTTGGTGCTGGTGTCGGATTCTGGTGCGCCGATTTGTGTCTGCGCTTATATATCCCTCCTGAACTTCTTGCCTCCTTGTCAGAAGGAGGAGAGGGGCGCCAGGAAAGCCTCTGGTCAGAGCCTCCGACCCCGTGAACCACGTGGGCACGCTGACCTGGGTCAGCCAAGGCCACGTCGAATACCGGCCAGCCGCTCGAGGTAGGGGGGTCGGCTCCACATTCACATGGTTCTCATCCCCCTTCACCTGCGCCTCGGCCCCGAGCCCCTTCCCAGGCATCCGAAAATGTGGCTTGTCGATCCTCGGGCCTGTCCCCATCAACAGCTCGTCGTCATGAACAATCTTTTGACAATCCTGGGACTATCCCGAGGTCCTCAGAATGGGCCGCGGGCGTGGGAAACTGCGACAAACCGTAGCACCCGTGTCCCTGAGGACCCGTGTCCCTGAGGCCGAAATGGAGGAGAAACGCCCAGACTGAGCATATCAAATCGTCGGATATCCGACTTTCCGCCCATCCGGCGTATGAGTTCTCCTCAGAGTCTCAAAGAGTTCGAAGGAATCTTAGCGATTCAAAGTGAAGCTCGCTTCACTCGGGGGGCGGGTGTCGGGGTGGCTCTGCCGGGGTAAGGGGGTGGGGGCGAGGGGGGGTTCCAAAGAATCCTTGGCCCTGGGGAGGGGGGAGGGGGGGGGTCGGGGTTTCCGCAGAATCCCAGGGCCCTGGGAAAGTGAGGAGGAGGTTTCCCCGATTTGCCCAAGCCCCCTTGGGAGATGCCCAGGGCCTCAGTCGGCCAAACAAGCGCCCAAGCCGTCCAAAGAGGCATCCAAGAGCACCTGCAAGAGGGCACACATCGAAAAATTCCATTCGGAAGACATACATTGTTAGTATACTTATGCGACTTCTCGGCCTTCACGGCGCCCCAAACGGCCCAAGGGGTTCCCCAAGACCGCCACACGACGGCCCAAGAGGCCCCAAAGAGGGCCCTAACACGGCCCAAGAGGGCCCTAAAACGGCCCAAGAGGCGCCCAAGACGACCCCAGGAGAGGTCCAAGAGGGGGAGCCCGAACCGACCGTTCGAGCCTGCCGCCCCAAAATGCCCGGAGGCGCCAAGAGGCCCCCGAGAAGGCCCTAAGTGGCCTCTCAGAGGGGCCCCAAGACGCCCCAAGAGATACCAAAAAGGCCCCCAAGATCCTACAAAAGTGCCTTCAGGAGGCCACCGAGAGGCCTCCCACGACATCCTGACAAGCATCCATACAGCCTACGACCTACGACCCATAACCCAGACACGGTGGCAAGATGGGCCGAACGCCATTAGATCCGCCGCCCCCTGTGGTCTTGCCACAGGGGTGCACGGCGTGCTGGATGTTTCAGGTTTTGGTTTTGGTTCTTTCTCTAAAAGAACTCCCCAGTGGGCTTCGGCCCGTCCCGCCGGCCACCCGCAAGTTTCCGAAAATCCATCTGTCAATGCCTTTGTTGCCCCAACTTGGCCCAAGATGGCCTCCAAGACGGCCAAGATGGCCCAAGATGGCCTCCAAGATGCTTCCAAGACGGCCAAGATGGCCTCCAAGACGGGTAAGATGGCTCCAAGATGCACCCAAGACGGCCCAAGATGGCCTCAAGATGGTCTAAGACGGCCCAAAAGGCCCGCAAAAGGCCTCCAAGACGGCCCAAGAGCCCTCCAAGACGCCCTCCAGGAAGGCCCGAATAGGTTAAAATCATTGATTTTCCTTAGGTTTTTCAAGGAGTTTGGCATGTTCTTCTTTTCAGCTCTCCGACGGCCCAAGACGGCCCAAGAGGTCCCCAACATCGCCCCAACAGCACCCAAGAGGCCTCCAAGATGGCCCCATGACGGCCCAAGAGGCCCCCAAGAAGGCCCCAAGAGGGCCTCAAGACGGCCCAAGAGGCCTCCAAGACGCCCAAGATGGCCTCCAAGACGGCCAAGATGGCCCAAGATGGCCTCCAAGATGCCTCCAAGACGGCCAAAATGGCCTCCAAGACGCCTCCAAGAAGGCCGCAAGGCATCCAAAGAGGCCCCCAAGATGCTTCCAAGACCGCACATGTGGCCCAATATAAACCCAGAGTAGCCAAAAAGGCACTCAAGAGACCTCCTCCTCCATTCCCCCCCTTCCTATCTCTCCTCTCCTCCCCGTCCTCCCCCACGTGTTCCCCGAAGGCTGTAAAGACCGATTCGGGGAACATATGGCCCAATAACTTGGCAGACCTCTGGCCACAGCAGTCGGCCGCATCGGCGCTTCCGAAAGGGCAGGGGGCGGCGGTGATTCGCCGTAGGCGTCTTCGATCCGCCGCCCCCTGTGCTTGTCACAGGGGTGCCCGGCGTGCTAGACGCTACCGTTTTTGGTTTTGGTTCGGGGCTCCAAAAGAACTCTCCAGATGGCCTCCAAAAGGGTCCACATGGCCCAAGATGGCTTCCAAGTTCGCCCAAGATGGTCCAAGATGGCCTCCAAGGCGGCCCAAAAGAGTCCAAGATACTTCCATGTCCGCCCAAAAAGCCTCCAAGACGGCCCAAGACTGCCCAAGAGGTGCCCAAGAGGCCTCCAAGACGGCCCAAGAGGCCTCCGACAGGTCCTCCAGAAGGGCTCGAAGTGGCCAAAATCATTGATTTCCTTAGGTTTGAAGGATTTTCGTATTTGCTCCTCTTCGGCCTTCGACGGCCGAAGACGGACCAAGAGGCCCCCAAGATCGCCCCCAGAGCGCCCAAGAGGCCCCCAAGATCCAAGAGGCCCCCAAGACGCCCACGATGGCCGCCAAGACGGCCCTGGAGCATTCCAAGAGAAGAGGGCCCCAAGTCGGACCAGAGAGGCCCCCCAAACGGCTTCCGACGGCGTCAGACGGGCCAGGAGCCCACCAAGACGGCCCAAGATGGCTCTAAGATGGCCCAAGACGGCCCACGAGGCCTCCAAGACAGAGGGTCTCCAGGGAGGCCCGAAGAGGCCAAAATCATTGATTCGCCTTAGGTTTTTGAATGATTTTGGCATGTGCTTCTTTTCAGCCTACCAACAGCCCGAGACGGCTCAAGAGCCCCCAAAGATCGCCCCAAGATCGCCTAAGAGGCCTCTAAGATGGCCCTCGGCCCAAGAGGCCCCCAGGATGGCCCCAAGAGGGCCCAAAGACGACCGAGGATGCCTCCAAGACGCCCAAGATGGCCTCTAAGGCAGCCCTGGAGCATTCCAAGAGGGCCCCAAGTCGGCCCAGAGAGGCCCCCAAGGAAGCTTTCGACGGGCCAGGAGCCCACCAAGACGGCCTAAGAGGATCCCGAGAAGCCCCTCCAACAGGGCTCCCATGCCTCCAAGAGGCTCCCAAGAAGCACACAGGGGGCCCCAAGAATGTCCCAGGAGGCTCAAGATGCCCCCTACTCCTCCACCTCCTCCTTCTCCACCTCCTCCACCTCCTCCTTCTCCGCCTCTTCCTGATCTTCCGCGGCATCCTCCCCTAAATGTTTCCCGAAGGGTTTCCACAACGGCTCGGGGGACACCTGGTCCGATAGCTTGGCAGAGCTCTTGCAACAGCGCTCGGTCACATGGGCGATTCTAAAGGCAGGGGGCGGCGGTGATTCGCCGTAGGCATCTTCGATAATCCCCACAGGGCCCCAGCTCATCTCCCCCCGACAAGAACAAGCACATGCGCCAAAAGAACCCGATGCCAGCACCCCCAGGACTGCCAGAGTGTTTACCACGTTTGTACATCGGGTAGGAGTCCGGGGTCGGCGGCACAGGCCGAAAACCACAACAATAGGCAACATCGTGAAGAACACGACCTGAGCCCAGAGTCGCACCTGTCTGCTGCATCATCAAAGTCAAATCGATATGTGATGGTCCCGGGGCCTGGAACTGGGCGAGAACGCCCGGTGTGACAAACTTGCAACGTCCTGATTCGAGACGTCAAAGTTCCTCTCTAGGGCGAAAAAGAATACATGTTTGGGCGGCCCAAAATCGCCAGAGGCACGTGCGTCGACATCAGGCGATTAATAGCGACCAGCCCTGAGGGAGGGAGGGTGGGGGGAAGAGGCGGTCACGCAACGCCATGACGATGACGACTTTTAATTCTGGAGCCTCCGTTACTCCCAGGCCCCCTCTTTCTGAGTACGGCAGAGTCATCGTCGGAGATCTAGGTTCTGACCCCGCCGATGGAGTAAAGCCGGTGCGCCAGCGGGGCCGCTGGCGCGGGGTTGCCGCCCACGGGCGGCGGCTGGTAGTGCTCCTCTGCCAGAGGGGCGGCGGGACGGCGAAAGCGGCCCGGGGGCAAGCGGGGATCGCTGTTCCCGTGACACCCTCGAGCATCACGAGGGGAAGTTTTCGGCTGGCTTCGGCCAGGCAGGAGGTCCCGAAAATGCGCCCCGAGCACGGGCCTCTAGCGGGGTCCACGCTGGGCCCGCCAGGGCTGCCGATGCATGATAGGGGTGCGTCCAAATAGCCTCCCGGGAACATACGGTAGGGGAGGGGCGTCGATGCATGATAGGGGTGCGTCCAAATAGCCTCCTGGTTCTGTTTGGGGGGAACTCAGGGATTCGGGGAGAGAAGTCGCAGACTCTAAGACGGCCCAAGAGAGAGGTCGTCGCCAGGAGCATCAGAGAAGCGCAAGAAGCAGCTCAACCTCACGAGGCGCCCGTTGGTACCGGGAGAGTCACAGAATGGACCAATGTGGGCCCTGGCGCAGGGGGCGCAGGTAGCTGACTGGCGGCGTCTTCGATACGCCTTCGCACTGCACTGATTACGCTACGGCGCGTTACGCTACGTTGCCCTGCGTTGCAGCTTTACACTACGCTGTATGAATCGGCATGCCCTCATCCTGCAGTCAACGCGCTACCATTCGAGGAACGAAGGGACTCTTCTGGCCACGGCGAGTCTCTGCCACGGATAGTTCCCCCGATGCAGATGGAGGGGACGGCCCGAAAACCATAACCCCTCCTGGGCCCGAAGAGGTCCTGATTTCAGCGTCATGAGAATAAGAAGCCACATGGATGCTTGCTTGAATCTTCGCTCGACACCCCTAGAGGCGGCTCCAGTGGCGTCGATCTGAGAAATCCGCGCGGAGCTCCAAGAATCTACGTTTATTCAATTTTCCCTTCCTCGAATCTTGACTGTACGCTGCATTGCTCTGCATGCCCTCATGCTAATTATTGGTGTCGACATGTCCGGTTTGACCTGCCTTCCGAGCTCCGGGCAATCCGCCGGCACGAGGCCAAGCCGTTCTGACTCAAGGTCGAAGATGACGTCGCGCCGGAGCATGAAGGATATCCCCAGCACCGTCTGGAAGACATTATTCCCCAGGAAGGTGGAGCACCTGGGGAGGCTAAAGATGAAGGGAAAAGTTTTGGGGGGTCAGCCCAGAGAGGGCAAACATCAAACTGGAATCGGCAATACATCGACGATGGATCGACGATAAATCCCCAATATCGAGCCCGTACGGTTCTGGGCGGGGTGGTCTACCAGGCCCCCATCGGCGATGAAAGGGCGACTCGGGGTCGACGCATCCCCCGTAAGGCTATACTGATGCTCATGTACCGGCCGTTCACGTTGGAGCCAAGAGAGCCGGCACCACACCACCATCGCGTGACGCCAGGGAGGGTCTTTCTGGTGGTGCAGTCCACCTTGTGTTGCGGCGTCCAAGCAGATACGTTCCCAATGTGCATCCAGATCGAAGTGACATCGTGGACATCTTCGCTGAAGGCAGCCCGCTGGAGCTGTTCCCCCCCTTTGATAGAATGTTACTCCCCGCGAGGATGGATAGAGGGAGGGAGGAGGGACGAGTGAAGAGGAGTGCGGGCGAACGAGGGAAGAGGCTTTCCCACGTGGTGGCCCAGGACATTGCGCCTTCCGTTGAAATTGCTCGAATCTGTGATCACTCCTACAATATTGTACGGCATGGCATCTCTGGGCATGACCAGCAGACATCGCTCGCGGCTGGCAGCCGGTCGGAAGAAGAAGCTTCGGAGAGTGGTGGGGTTCTCGAGGCTGGAGCATGAGAGTTGGGAGGATTCGGGCAGGCGCTTCAAACGCATACTGGAGAGGGCAATGAGTATGTTCGCTGTTGTTGCATGGACGGGAGTCAGAGATAATGCTCGATGACGGTTGACGTCGCGTCTGTGCGTTCCTGGCTCTTGGCCGGCAATTGTCATGCGGTGAACACCTGACGGCAGCAAACGCCGGGGCAGACCCAGGACGAGGTGAACTGATTATGTACGCTGGTTTGTGTCGATGAAAGGCATTTTGGTTGCAGGGAACTCTGCGACAAGGTAAGCGTTTTCCATGGAATGCTCTCGAGAAGTAACTGCAACTTATGACCAACAGCCACACGTAATGTTTGACCGCGTGGGGGGGGCTGAGGTGTTTGCTTCGCATGTACCGTAGTCATCTTGTATGATTGCCTTATGATTGGGCGAGCTGCTCCCAGAACTGTTCGGTCGGACGTTGAGCTGCGTTGCGACCGAAGAAAATAAAAAAGACTGGGCTCGGGTCCACTGCTCGACCTGACTTGACAGCTTATTGGCCATAAGCCAGCCTCCAGACAATTCAAATATTCCGTCTCCCCAGCTGCTTGCAAGTTCTTCTCAAAGCGAACGCAAGCGGTCACACCCTGGGCATGCCTGTTGCAGATGCCCCTCCAAAAGCTATATGCCTTCTGCCTCGCTGTGACGACGTTGGTGGCCCCATCAGCGAGGACTTGGACGCGAACTGCTTGACCTGCGCCTTGAGTGCCGCCTTGCAACCTGGATCTTTGGCCGGGGACAGCGCCTGCTGCAAGTGTGTAAGAACAACCATATTAGCCTCGCCAACCGTACTTCTGAGAAAGCTACCGAAGCACGGTTGTCTGCATTCTAATTTCCCTCGCTTGCATCACCATCACCATCAACGCAAGCGGCCTTACGCAATATGCATTTAGCAAGCTCCGGCGGTGCGGACAAAAAAGGAACTTACGACAACCACTGCACTTCTGACCCCTCGCCAAACAAAAGATATCCTTGTAGTCAGTCTGATCACACACCATGCACGCAGTCCAGAGACGAGGCATGGCGAGAAAACCTCGGCCTAGCCAATTCCTGAGCAGACATAGGAACTCTGCAGTGGGGATGTCCCTCAAGCGCCACGGGAAGGTACCGAGGAGGGACTCGCAGCAAATTGCCTGAGCCCGAATGGATTGAGGGGAGGGAGGAGCGAGCGAGGAGGGAAGCAGGCAAAGAGAGGTCTGCCTCAGTCAGCTACACGCCAGAGTGATCTTGGGCAGAAATGACCTTTGGTGCGCTTTGTCAGAGGGGGGCGCGGAGGGGGCAACCCCAGCGCACAAGCCGCTGCCATCGCATCGCATTCGGCGATCGGGGGGAGACCAGTCGAGTGTTGCTAGACGTGGCCCTGGCCCACGGTGACCACAGCTTTCCAGGATGCAGATGGTTGCCAGAGCACCCCTCACGGCCCCAGTACTCCAACAATGGATTAACAAAATGCGAGCATCTCGGGCCAGGACCACTTCTAGCACCACCCGATCCAGTGGGGCCGCACCAAAGGTCACTCCGACGAAAGGTCACTTCTACGCGTAGCCGCCGACTAGAAGGGCGAGACTGGCTCTCTCCGTTCGGGCCGACCAGACACCACATGGAGAAGGGAGGCCAGACAGGACACTCCTCCCATGAGGACTGCCTCAGTGGGAGAGACTGGTAGGGAAGGACGTACGCGCCAAGCCACACACATACATGTCCGAGGCCAGCTTCGTGTTACGAACGTTTGTACAACAAGTCTCTCAACTGACGTGAATTCACGCACGCGTGCAAAATATCATCGAACCAGAACTGGCTCTCTCCGTTCGGGCTGGCTAGGCACCCTATGCCGCTGTCGTCTCGAATTGGCGACATATCGCTGAGGCCTTCGATAACAAGACCGCAAAGTCCTGGGCGGAGCTGGGCGGAAAGGGCTATCGACTCGCTATCGGCGATGAACGGGCGACTGGGCGTCGATGCATCCTCCGTCCCCCCGGAGCAAGTCCCCCCTGAAATATCCCCTGCATAGCCGCCGACAGAGCGAGGGTGACTGGCTCGCCGTTCAAGCTATCAGGGATCTTCTGACCTAGGTCAATCCAGACCCGGGTCAGTCAAACCTTGCAGAATCCTGCAAGATCCTGCAAGATCCTGCACCCAAACCCCGGGTCGATGCGAAAGATCCTGCAAGATCCTGCAGGATCCTGCACCCAGACCCGGGTCAATGCAACCCTGGCCCTGTAGGATCCTGCAAGATCTGGCGCTCTGGCTGACCCCCGCTTGCATTGACCTTCGTCTCTCGAGCCCCGAGACTGGCTGGGGCACCATATGCCGCTGTCGTCCCGCTCCTGCAAGTACTCGGTGGGCTGCCAGTCGACCCTCATGCCCTCCTCGAAGTGCAGGCCGACGGTTGGCGGCGCGCGGCAGCGGGCAGGGCGAGGGTGCTCAGGATCAGTCAGCATCGAATCGGGAATTCGGATTCTAGATCCTCCTGCTCGATCCTCCTCCTTATCCTCCTCCTCGGTCCTCTTCGATCAGCCAACACCGAATCAGGAGTCAACTGGACCTTCTCCAACTGAACCAGGCGTCGCCCAAGAGAAGGCGAAGTCCAGTTAGAGGCTCACCCGTTGGAACCCTTTGGCTGCAAATGGACTCACTCCAGCTGGACTTAGCGTCGACCGATGCACCAGATCGAACCGAAAAGCGCGTCGGATCGAGCTGCATCGGCACGGAATCGAAATCGAAACACCGTTCGGCCGATCCGTCGTCATCAAGTCGCGAGATCGGGGCTAACTGACTTGTGCGTCGGATCGGGCCGCGTGGGCACGGAGTCGAAACCATATCAAGTTTCGGCCGCGCCAGGATGCGCAACGAAGCCACGCGAAGATCGGGCCGCATCGGATATTCGGAATGTCGGGATCGAATCGGGTCGGGACGGCCGACAACACTATTGAGCGGCATCGGTAGGGAGGGACTGGCTCAGGGGGGAAACGTCGACCTGGTAGGTCCTCGATAGCGAAGCCGCACGACCCTGAGCAGGGTGGGCTGTCGGGCCCCCGTCGGGGATCGATGCACGATTGGGGGTCATCCATCTTCTGAGCCGATCCTCCCCTGGGGTTACCCCTGAGATGTTTTGCATGAGCGAGGCGGGTCCTGCCCCAAGACGGCCCAAGAGGGCTCGAAGGCGGTCCAAGAGGCGCCCACGACTGTCCAAGACGGCCCCAAGAAGGGCTCCAAGAAGGGCCCATACCAGATGGCCCTAAAGGGCCCCATGAGCCCCAACTACTGCCTCACTGGAGACTGAGAGGGCCACACGACGGCCCGATCGAATCCCATGAGGACTCCTAGTGAAGACGAAAGATGCCACATGTGACGGCATTTCTCCTCCTCCTCGGCATGTCTCCTCCTCCTCATCTTCCTACTACTCCTCCTCGTCCTTCTCCTCCCACATGATCACCACCACCACCATCATGATCATCATCAACATCATCATCAGCACCACCATCCTCATCACCACCACCACCACCATCACCATCATCATCATCACCACCACCATCATCATCATCATCAGCAGCAGCAGCGGCAGCAGCATCATCATGTTCATGATCATGATCATCATGATCATCATGATCATCATGATCATCATCATCATCACCATCATCACCATCATCATCATCATCATCATCATCATCGTCAGCATCATCATCATCGTCATCATCATCAGCAGCATCATCATCAACATCATCATCATAATCATCATCATCATCATCATCATTATCATCATCATCAGCATCATCAACATCGCCAGCATCATCAGCATCATTATCATCATCGTCATCATCATCAGCAGCATCAGTATCATCAGCATCAACATTAGCAACAGCATCATCATCATCATCATAATCCCCATCAGCATCATCATTATCATCGTCATCGTCATCACCACTACCAACACCAGCATCATCATCAACATCAGCATCGACAACATCATCGTCATCATCATGAATCACGGCTCCCCCAGGCCTGGGGTCAGGATGTGTCACACGTGATGGCCTCCCGCGCCCACTCGAACAATCGCCACGCAGAATGCAGGGCTGGCACGTTACCGGGACTTGCCGCAGGCAACTGGATACCGAATCGAATCGATCTAGTCGAAATGCACCTTGGAACTGGAGGCGACATGCTACCAGGACACACTGAAAATCGGCATGGCCTGTGTTCTTCCTCAATCTGGACGCCTGGCCCGTTTGGGGCTAGACCTCGGTAAAACACATCCAGGGTGAAAAACTGGCTCCCGGAGAAGGGGGCGACATGGCTCTTGGGGGGCGTTTGACCCCTTTGAGCGGCGTCTAGAGGTTGTATGATGGTGCTGGGTGCTGGTGTTGATGACGATGCTGGTGATGACGATGACTGAGAGGAAGATGAGCGTCCTGTATCGATCGATAATTCGCCGCTCTTTTCCAGTAGGGAGTTTCAGGAACGGCCTCGCCTTTGGCGCACCTCGCATTCGGTGGAAGCGGGCGGAAGATAGTGTTCTAATTCAGATTCTGGCAGTTTTGCTTGCGTGGCATTTTACCTCCCCCCTTCGGTTCCCTGTTCATTCAGTGCTGGGCCATAAGGGCGTGCAAGTAACACTCGCCTTGCGACATGTCAAGCTTTCCCTTCGGGGCTGACAGCCCTCCCCCACCATGCAAGCGTGCCAGAATATTGTAGACAGCAAGCTCCAGATCCTGGGACCCAGGTCCCCACAAATCGTGACGCTGGAAGTCTGGGCGAGAAGATATCAGGAGGCGCCCCGCCTCTTCGAAGCCGCCCTGTATTCTAAGAAGCCCTTCATGGGAGCCTCCGAACTGCGTCCAGCCGTGGAGACGAGGCGCTCCAGAAACTTCCAGAAACCAGCTTCGACACGACACAGACACTGACCTCGTCGTCGCCGTCCACTTCGCCGTTGCCCCCTGGCGCTCGCCGCCAAGATGGGCGGGAAGTCCGCAGGACCTCGGCCAGCGTCCTGCAGCTTCCAGCACTCCGAGCCCTCGGCGTTCACCACGTCTATCTTCTCGGCGGCGCAACCGCCGTGGTCGGCGCAGTAGGCGGCGATGTTCTTGATGATTCCGTCGTACAGGGGCACGGGGAAATACCTCCAAGAATGTGGCTAGAAGAGAAATCGGAATAAACATGCACTTTTTCGGAAGACGCGCGGAGCAGCGCCAGAGGAGAGGCCAGGGGGTCCAGCGCCGATTCAAGAAGCCTGCGAGGTCCTCCGATTATGTATGCAGTATGTGCTGCTTCTTCAGATGAATTCATCCATTTCTGGGTCTCCTAGGAGGACCTCGTGACCACAGCAGTGCGGCTCGCTCGAGAAGCTGGCCGGAACGGACCCTGGGAGGGGCCCGACGGACTGGTTATGAAGAACAATTGATCGTGGCTGGGGTGGATCAGTCCGGCTCAACGCAAACCCAGCTCAGCCAAGTTAGAAAAAACTGCTCTGATTTTTTTGTTGGGGGGGCTTCCCAAACAAGCTCGGCAAATATGCGCGGCCACCTCCAGGGCCGCGCGCGGCCCCCAAACCCGGCTCAGCCCGAAACTGGCTTTGCAGGATCCTGCAAGATCCAGCGCTCTGGCTGAGCCCCGTTTGCGCTGAACCCTGCTACCTGCGGGCTGACAAGGCTGGGGTGGCAGGGGCCCGACGGTACGTGTAGGTCGTACCGCTGTCCACGATCGTCACGCCGAGGTTCCTCTGGCCCCAAGCCACCGCCTCGCCCTCTGGGTCCTTCACGGGGCCCACGGTGAGCCCGACGGGGAACACAAAGTGGTAGTGGGCTGGGCGCAGGCGCACCCACTGGATCTCTCCTCCTTTCCTGTGGGAGGTCCCGTTGTAGCCTCCGACGGTCAGACGGCCTCTGAGGGGGAATGAAAGCTCGGAGGCAACACCTTAAGCCCAGGGTTCAGCCCGAATGAACCAGAATCAACAAATCGGGATTGGGCCAGACTCAGCGGGAGTACTCCGAGTTACACCAGTTGAATCGGCGATGCATCGCCGATAGATCGGCGATGGGCCCCCGATAGCGGATACGCACGTTCGCCGGCGAGGTGGGGCGATGGGGGCTCTACTGTCGGCGATCAATGGGCGATTGGGATCAATGCATCCCCCCCCCTCTTCAGCCAATGCCCCCATGACGTTGCCCCTGAGACCTCCCCACTCGGACAAACACATGGAAAAGATGCTGGTCTTTACGTGCTGCTTGTCCGCAAACAACTGCGTCAGGATAGTCGGGGAGCCGGTGTCGCCGAGGCCGCCCGGGGCAAGGCCCATGATGCCGTTCGCGCGCTGCGAGTAGAAGAGCCTGTTCTCCTTCATGTGGCACCCCAGTCTGACCTTGACTGCTGGATTCTTCTGCTCAAGGTCGCCGAGCTCGATGTCGTCTTCGAAGAAGTACCCCGACACCGAGCTGCCCTCAGAATATGTCTCAGAGTACGCGCAGTGCCCCTCGACACAGCCAGTGGAGCAACTGGTATCAGATTCGCAACCGACCCATGAGGCGCTGCTAGACCTAGAAGAACGAACACAACATAATAAACACAAGCTTTCTGAGGTCGGCGCGGATCATCTGGGGCGCCGCTGGACTCCATCGCCTTGCGGGCGATCAGTGCTAGCGGGGGCGCCGCCCCAGGGGAGGGGGTCCAGCGCCGACCTAAAAAAGTGGCAGGGACCTCCGAAAGCTCGTGCTTTGGAAACTGTGTGTTTCTTCGAAGACCGGGAGAAATCGAAGGCCTTATCGATGTGGCTCCCGCAATGCTCGCAGCCGGTGCATGGGAACCCAACGAGCCGGCTGCCGGTGTCGACGATCACCGAGGTGCGCTGGTTTGCAGGAGTTCCGACCTCGGGAGGGGGATCGCTGACCACCGCCATGGGGCATCCGCAGCCCGTTCTTTGCCTGGATCTCCTGTTTCAGCCAACTTCGCGCATCGCGCACCGCGATGCTCAGCACGCGGTTCTGTTCGCGCCACGGTAAGGCCGCCCCGGAGCCTTGGAGGAGGGCAGCTCTCCGGCCCAGGCCGCGACGCCCAAAGGGCGATTATCATCGCGCCCCCGCGGCTGACCCAGGAGATCAAACCCCGTCGGGGGTGGACAGAAGCCCCAATAAGACAAGAACCCTTTAGTGAAAACGACCCAGGACCACAGCTTGCAACCGCAGGCAAACCCCCAAGGAAAATGTGGCCGCAACGCTCTCGAGAACCGAAAAGGGCAATTCGCTAATCGACTTGGCGAGGTGGGCATTTTATCAACCTCCGCTCCAATTAAGACTAGACTGGGAGGCAATACCTACCAAAACCTGTCCCCTCTGCCCTCCCCCGTCCGTCTCCGAGATTGGGACTCGGTTCAGGGACGCGCCCCTACTCCAAACGGTCGATCGACCCTGCGCAGCAAGACTCCCCTTGGGGCCTTCGGGGGAGGAGGAGGCCCATGCGACCCACAAATCCATGAAGTCCGCCACCGCGCTTGCAGCGTTTGGTGTGCGTTGGGTCCTTCCGCCTCTTGCGCATCAAGAATTTGGGCCCCCCCGACACATCGAACCCAAAGTGCTATCACCTGTGTTGCCAAGTCCCTGCGTTTATGGCTCCAAATACAAAATCTGGTGATGCGGGGCTCGTGGCCCCGCCCCCCAGGCAAAGGCGCCATCCCCCCACTCGCCCGCCCGAGCGCGGTGGCGGAATCGCGCGACAGCGCAACTGGATAATACCCATACTGAGCCACGTTGCCGTATAGGTTCGCAGACTCGACCTTGCCCTCCTCGTTGTACGGCGCGGTCGCGAGGGGACTGTGCGCACAGAGCCCGAGAACCTGATGGGCACAAAACGCCGCACCGCGTCGGCTCGTCTGACGACCCCTCGGCCTGGCCTCGGGTCGTCATCGGTCGTCGAGGGGGGAGGAGGCAGATGGATGGGGGACGGAGGAGGGAGTACGGAGGCGAATACAGGTGGGGAGCGGGGGAGGGGGGCAGCAGGCAGGGGAGAGGGAAAGAAATGGGGGGAGGGGGAGAATGGGGGAGGAAGAGGTTTACGTAATCCCACCAGCCCTCTGGGCGGAGGTGGTCTAGAGCGTTTCCGTTTCCAACCTCCCTGATATACCTCCCCCCCCTCCTTGGGTCTGGACGGCGCGGGCCCGAGGGGTTAGAGGGTCCTTTTTGGCCCAAGATGGCTCCAAGAGGGCCTCAGAGAGCGCAAGATGGCCTCCAAGATGGCCCAAGATAGCTCAAGATGGCTCAAGATAGCCTCCGACACACATCCAAGAAGCCTCAAGGCTGCCCCAAGGCGGATCCAAGTGCCGTTCGAGCCTTCAACGGCACCCTCCAAGATGCCAAAATCCGTCAAAAGCCTATGGGAAAATCAATGTTTCAGGCATTCTCGCCTTTTCGCTTCCGATGGGCTTTGGCATCCTCAACATGGCCCCAAGTTGCCCCAAGAGAGCCCCAAGAGGGGCCCAAGAGGGCCCCAAGACGGCCCCAAGAGCGGCCAAGAACGCTCCAAGAACGGCCCAAGACGGCTCCAAGACAGCGTCTGTGAGCCTCCGATGGGGGCGGCGGGAATTGGGGGACCCCCTCTTTTTTAGCCATGGGGCCCAAGACGGCCCCAAGAGGCCTCCCAAGCCTCCCCAAAGAGCCCCAAAAGGGCTCCAAGACTATCCGAATGAGCTCCACGAGGGCCCCACGAAGGCCCCAAGAGGACCCCAAGAGGGCTCCAAGATGGCGCCAAAATGGCATTACGACGCTTCGAAGGAACCCTCACCACAATATATCCACTAAGCCCGATTTCGCGTCCTCCTTGTATTTTCTGTTTGTCCTCCTCCTCCTCCTCTTCCTCCTCCTCTTCCTCCTCCTTTTACCCCCAAGATGGTCCCAGGCATCGCCAGCACCAGCAGCACTATCAGTAGCATCAGCATCAACACCAGCAGCAGCGGTACCATAAGTACAAACTACAACGACAACACCAACGATACCAGCAGCTACAGCCCGACACCCTTCGCTACAAGAGCTCTCCCATCTCACCAGTGTTGCCAATCAAGCCGCCGTGGTACATCCGCGCCTTCCTTCCTTCCTTCCTGCCTCCTCCCTCCTCCTCTTCATCCTCCCCGTGCCGCTTGCATGCTCTTCCTCTTCCCCGTTCTCCTTCTACTTGTTTCATCCTCCTCCTCCCCGTTCTCCTCCTACCCCCAAGATGGCCCCAGCAGCAGCACCACCAGCAGCAGGAGCACCACCAGCAGCAGCACCAGCAGCAGCACAAGCACCAACAACAGCAACATCAGCACCAGCATCAACAACAGCAGCGCCAGCAACAGCATCATCAGCAGCACCGGCAGCAGCACCAGCACCTCAGCAAGTTCGAAACGCACGGGAGTTTAAGATACAACTCAGTGCAAGGGTTAAGATCAAAGATGTCCATCGAGATGCGACTCCAATCTGCGCGCCGCTGGCGTCGGATCGTAGATACAGGAACCTGCGCCAGAGACGCTTACCAAAGGGAGCACCATGGCGCATCTTGCACTGATTTCTGTCTTAAACTTCACTGCGCGAAGGGCCTTATTTTCTGGCCCAGGGTACGGCCCACCCTGTTGTGACGCTTCCAAAACAGCTGTGCGACCGCGTGCTTCCAGGCGCCCCTGATTGACCAACTCACCTGGTAATCGTTTCTGGATGGACGTTTACCACAGGGAACCTCACGGCGTATCTCACACTAATTTCCATATCAAACTTCAGTGGGGGAAGCTATGTGTGATCCTTGTTTTTCTGGCCCGAGGTACGGCCCCCCAGTTTTGAGAACAAGAATGCCTGTGCGCACGGCGGTGTCTATGTGCAGCTTCTGCGCTCCTTCCAACACGATGTCGGATCGTGCATACAGCAACCTGCGCCAGAGACACTTACCACAGAGAACACCACGGCGCATCCTGCACTGATTTCTGTCCTAAACTTCACTGCGCCGAACTATGTGTGATCCTTGTTTCCTGGCCCAGGGTGCTGCCCACCCTGTGTTCACGCTTCCAAAACAGCTGCGCGACCGCGTGCTTCCAGGCGCCCCTGACTAACCAACTCACCTGGTAATCGTTTCTGGATGGGCTGGTGGGGATACGCGAAGCGCCAAGATTACGGCAACACGGGGGAGCAGGAGGAGGTGGAGGGAGGGGGAGAAGAGATGTGGGGGGGGGGGTACGAGAAAGATGGAGAAGGACGGATGCAGGGAGGATGAGAGGAGAGAGAGGATAGACAAGGATGGATGGATGGTGTGCTCCCTTTGAGCTGGCGGCGGAAGCTTCGGACGAGACTTCCTTTTAGCAAGGGGCCACGACCCGGGGAGGGTTCGGAAGCGACCTTGCTGCGACGGCTCTGGAAGACAGATCGCCAGCTCTGAAGGGGTCGAGGGGAGGGTTGGTAAGAGCTGTGCACTTTCCAAGACCTGCGCGGAGTCAAGAGGGCGGCGCACAGAACCGACCCTGGAAAACCGTGCAAGCCTTTGAAAATTCCCACAGTTCCAACAAGGACCTCCGCCCGAAACCCCGGCCAGGGCGAAGCAGAAGAGGCAACTCAGAGACTCCCCGCCATATGCGGGGGGGGGGCCAGGCAGGGAGCACCTGCCTGGGGCTCGTCCGATCCCCCCACGCTGCCTGGTCGACGTACCCCGCAGGTACGGGACGGTGACAGGAGGAGGGAGAGGAAGCCACCCCAGGGAGGGGAGGATCCAGCCCGACCCGACCCGCCTGCCAGGAGACTGGGGGGCGAAAGATGCCGAAGCCGAAGCTTCCAACACCAGACCAGAATTTCCAGGCGAATCCTGCCGTGACCACGACGAGACCCCAAAAACGAGCAGCGGACCAGGAAACAACCCCCTCAGTGCCCCGGGCAGAGGGGAGGGAGGGCGGGAGCACACGAGGGCAAGGAGGGAGGCGGGAAAGGGGATGGGCAGAGACCCCCAGGACCGAAGGCACAAGTTTTCAGAGCTGCCACCGGACAGGGCGACAAGGGATACCCCAAGAGCCGAGGAACGGGGACGCGATCAGGACCCCCGACGGAACACCCAGGGCCTCCGAAGGCCCGAAAGGACCTCCAGGACCTCCAACGGCCTGCCCCCACGACGACTCGAGGACTCCCGGCGGCCAATGGCAGCGGCCTCGGCGCCCCGATGCGCGCTCCAGGGCCTGCTTGCCAGCTCTCCCTCACACGGCGGCACGAGGGAACGCGGCAGCCCCCTGACGACGACGACGACGACGACGACGACGACGACGACGACGACGACGACGACGACGACGACGACGACGACGACGACGACGACGACGACGACGACGACGACGACGACGACGACGACGACGACGACGACGACGACGACGACGACGACGACGACGACGACGACGACGACGACGACGACGACGACGACGACGACGACGGGGGGAGAGGGCACCCCAACTGGCCTCGGAGGGGCTGCCGCGGCCGGCATGCCTCCGAGGGCTGGGCTTCGCACTCTCCCAAGGAGCACGCTCCTGGGCCAGCTTGCCAGCTCTCCCCCACGCGGCGGCACGAGGCCACGCGGAGGCCACCAGCGGCAGCGGCGGCGACCCCGACGACGACGACGACGACGACGCCGACGCCGACGACGACGACGACGACGACGACGACGACGACGACGACGACGACGACGACGACGACGACGACGACGACACGCGGCGGCCGACGGCTGCGGAAGCGGCGGCAGCGGCACGACGACAGGGAGGGAAGAGCGAAGGCAGGGAAGGGACCGAGGAGGAGGAGGAGGAGGGGAGGGCGGCCTGGCCCCGGCGGACCCGACCCGCCCGGCCCGGCCCTGCGGAGCGGGAGGACGGGAGGGAGAGGGGACGAGGCGACCCCCCGGGGCCCGAAAAACGGCCTCCTGAGGCCGACGGCGCGGAGAGACAGAACCCCCCCACCACCCACCCCCTCCACCCCCTTTTTTCTACCTATGCTCTGTTTTGCAACTGATGCGCTGTCCGTCACACAATCCTCACAGGAAATGCACTGCCTGCTGGGCAAAAGGCTGGATGGGGGGAGGAGGAGGAATCGGAGGAGGAGGAGGAGGAGGAGACGCAGGAAACATCAAAACTACCTGTGCGGACTTGAACAAAAGGGTTCTGACTCGGCTCCTCTACAGATGCTGCACAGCATCTGCCTGCCGCTCCCCGGGCGCACGGGGGCCCTACCTAGAGTGTGGAAGAGGGAGGTGGGCGGAGGAGAAAACAGAGCGCAAGGGGTAGAGGCTCCCCCGAGAAGTCTTACCGCGAGGCTAGGCTGCCTGGTCAATCAGACGCCGGGGGCGGCGACCATGCTGCTGGCGGCAGGGGCGGCAGAGGCGGGAGCGCCTGCGGGCCGCCAATCCGCTGGGGGGCTGGCGGGGTGCCATTGTTCCAGGGCTCGGTCCAGGCCTCGAGCTTGGCCAAGATCGCCTCCTGGACGCCGTTCTTCTTGCTGGCAGACACGTGCACGTGGCCTCCTTTGCGGAGCCAGACATGGGCTGCTCCCTTCTTGTGCCCGAACTGCAGGAGCACGCCCTTCGGCACGGGATCCCGCTTGGGGACGTGGCACCACTTGCCAGTGGCCATGAGGGGGCCGCTCACCGGGTGAGTGTAGGCCCAGTACAGCACGATCCGGTCCGTCGGGAGGCTCCCGTCTGGGAGCCTCCGCACCCACCTGTCCACGTTGTGCTTGTCTGCCTCTGCAGCCGGCGGGCCCTGGACGCGCCCGCTAGAGCGCCGCGCGCGGACTGAGGCCCTCCGCCGCCGGTGGTGGCCTGCCCTTTGGCCTCCTGCTCCGGGGCCGCAGCCCC